GATGGTTGGTTCAAGACGTACGCAGCATACAGCGAGTGTTTGACTGCGACGTAACAGCTGTTAAGACAGACAACGACCGTGGATATGGCACATCACCAAACTTCCTACAGGAACTCTGCAAAGACCTGGGTATTCGATACGAGCCACGAGCCGAGTATACCGAGGAGCAGAATGGACTGGCAGAGCGAGCGGGATCGCTCCTTGTCATCCGAGCTAGAGCCATGAGGATCCAAGCAGGACTGCCAAAGTCTTTGGCTCATGAGCTGATTCGAACAGCAGCATACGTCCTCAACCGGACACCAACTCAAGCGCTGCAGTGGAAGACACCGTACGAGATCGTATGGAAGACGAAACCAAAGGTTCAACACATGCGTCCAATTGGATGTCGAGCCTACGTACTCAACCGCTCGCTGAAGCGCGCGGACAAGCTCGAATCGAGAGCACTGATTGGCCACCTTGTTGGCTACGACTCAACCAACATCTTCAGGATCTGGCTTCCTACTAAGGACCAGGTCATACGCACACGAGATGTTGTCTTTGAACCTACAAAGTTCTACAAAGGACTACAAGGATACGCTCACGAATCAGTAATCGCAGAAGTCGTTGAGCTTCTAGCATTTCCTGAGGAGCTTGAGCCTGACGATATAGCAATAGAAGATCTTTTGACGACTCGACAACGCCGTCAACAGCAGCCTGCTCACACATCTGCGCTCACGGAGCCTCAGATGGGGGGTGAAGTGACAGAACAGAATAAGGAGCAGAACAACGGAGGATTGCTGACTCCAGAAACTTCAATCCACGATCAACAAGACAGACGAACCAATTCTCTGTCCTCAGAATCAGAACAAGAGCAACATGCTCTTGATGAGCAATTAGCTCACGAACAGCAACCACACGAATCGCGAAATGAAGACCTTTCTGCAACCCAGCTTGAAGGCTATATACCTGATCGACATGAGAACAACGCTCCAAGACGTCGAAACCTTGATCTCAGCACAGACAACGTCATCGAAGGCCCGCGGCGTACAAGACGAAATGCTGATCTCCAGGCACCAGAGCGATGGCACTCTCACGCCGTCTCATACGGAGCATCAGTCGACGACTACCTCAAGGCTTTCTCAACTGCCTTAAAGGTTGAGCCAACCACGAAAATACATCGTTCGCAAGTGCCGAGAGCTCCGCGATCATATTCAGAGCTCAAATCTCATCCGTTTGGAGAGCAATTTCGACAAGCTGCGCAGAAAGAGTACCACGAGATCTGGGGCAAAGGCTGCTTCGCCAAGACAACACAAACAGCAGAGACTGCTGATGCAGAGGTGCTACCCCTGATGTGGGTATTCACATACAAGTTCGATGAGGACGGCTACCTCTATCGATTCAAGGCACGACTTGTCGTCCGCGGCGACCTACAACAGCCATACGGAGACACCTACGCTGCTACACTAGCTGCTCGAACGTTTCGAGCACTCATCGCAATAGCCAATCAATTCGGATTAGAGCTACTTCAGTACGACGTACCAAACGCGTTTCTCAACGCTACACTCAATCGAAAGCTCTACGCTCAAACACCAGACGGGTTCAAGAAAGACGGAGAGCTGCTACAGGTACTGAGAGCCCTGTACGGACTGAAGGAATCACCACTGCTATGGTACAAGGACCTGAGAGAAACACTGAAGTCTCTGGGCATAACGCCTATACCAGGATTTCCATGCGTCTACGCAAACAGCTGGTTGATCATGTTCGTCTACGTTGACAATATCGTCATGGCTTTCCACCCATCAAACAAACATCTACACCAAGAGTTCAAGAAGAAGCTCAATAAGCACTATAGACTGAAATGCCTCAGAGAACTCAAGTAGTTCCTAGGCATACGCGTCGTTCGAGATCTCAGCGCACGCACGATTTACTTGGTTCAGGACGCTTACATTGACAAGGTCGCTGCTAAGTACAACATTATCTCTACTGGCCGCCCTTCAGAGGTGCCTATGCTAGTAAATTACCTAGAACAATCTCTTGAGGAACCAAACGAAGCTCAGAAGAAGACCTATCAAGAGCTTGTAGGCTACCTTGCCTACCTCACGCAGTATACCCGACCTGATCTGGCTCGCGCTCACGTTATCCACGCTTCACATTTGACCAACCCTGGCCAAGCACACGTCGAATCTATTCGAAGGGTGTGGCGTCACATTCTGGAGACAAAGTATCGAGCCCTGCAGGCTCAAGCCACTGACGAGGCAGAGATACAAGAGCACCTCACTTCGCCACAGGACTATCGCGATCCTATCTTCTTTGGAGCATCTGATGCCTCCTTTGCTGACGACGTTGAGACGCGCCGAAGCTCTCAAGGATACGTATTTCAGCTGTTTGGCATGACTGTTGACTGGAAGTCAACACTTCAACGCACTGTCACGAAATCAACAACAGAAGCAGAGCTGCTTGCTCTCTCACTTGCT